TTACAGATGTTACCCGAAGCGGGTCTACTTTTAATGAAACCTGTTTGGTCTGGTTGGATTATTACTGGAGTAATTGTCTCTATTCTAGTGTCTAGTGCTTTGGTGATAATTTTTAGATCTGTGTTAATAAGTGACAGAGGACTGTTAACTGGAAGGGTGGGATGTTTTTTTTTTGCAGCGGGAGTGTCATGGCAGCCATATTCATATGCAGTGGTACTGTAGAGGTGGTTTTAATTTCTGTGGTAACTCAGGGATAAAATCTGCCAGAAGTGTTTATAAAATTCAGCAGGGAATCCGTCAGGTCCGTGTGATTTATTATTTGGCATAGATGCTTTATGGAGTTCTTCCAGAGTGATGGGGGTATTGGTTCGTTTGATAGTGTTGGTAATTTTATATTGTTTATGAAAGTATCTATTTCAGATGGAGTTGGTTCATGATCAGAGGAGTATATTTTCCTATAAAATGCTTGAAATACATTGTTAATATATTGTGGATTATGGACAGTTTCACCTGTAGAGTCAAGTATGGATGTAATGATTGCCTTTTCTTTTTTACATTGTAGATGATTTGTCAAATATTTACCTGTTTTGTTACTATATTGAAACAGTTTGTATTTCAGTTGTTCATTTCAGAATTGCATTTTTTTTGTATATAATACTTTCAAGTTGAGTTTTGAGGTGGTTCAATTCATTCTGTATTCGTTCAGTAGGGTTATTTGAATATGATTTGATATTCTAGCATTTAACAAGACAGGACAAAATAGATTCATGTAATGTGGCTCTAGACAAAGCACTGAAGTCAGGAAGTTATTTTGAGAAGCGATGGCCTATTTCAATGGCAAAATAAAAAACAAACAAACCAAGAATCAACAGAAGAAAGTTCATTTGTAGTTCTAAACATACTTAGGGTGTTTATTCACTTTTTGTCTCTCCCATGACGTTATTTCTCTCTCCTACAGTGTCCATTACAATTACATGCAAATGAAATATTATGCAAATTAGGCAATGACGTCTTTAGCGCCTTTTAGGACAACCAATAGCTACTTTCCTTACTGAGGAGTTGGCAACACTGTGTACAGTTAATGCAGCTCTGGGAACACTTTTTTGTAACCTGCTGTTGGTGTGGGGTGGGGTCGTGCTTGTATTGGGGCTGGTGCATGGGAGCATCAGTGGATTCTTTGGCTGAGAACCAGCGGATTGGGAGCTGTGCTCTTACTACCATAAGTCAGGGGCAGTACCTGCTTTGTGAACTAAAAACTGATACATAACAAGCTAGTAGCGTAATCTAACAAACACACCAAACAAAGTTCACTACCATGTGTGCACACACACACACAGACATGCACACACACTAAAGTCTAAACTAGCCAACTCTACATTTCTCTCAAACACAATACCACTGCTGCTGCAAGTGACAAAAACAGCTTGCTGATGAGAGAGAGGCTGGTAAACTGAATGAGCTACAGAGGTGCTGCTCAAAGACAGTGTCTGACAAGTTTTATTATGGTTATGTGTTGACTCACAGCACCTGGTTTTGAGAAAACACAATTTAAAAGCAGCTTCAAATTAAATGTTAAAACTGAATTCAAAACCAAATTTGAGCTGCTGATGTGGCAGCAGTGCCCAATGTGTTTCCACCGTGCTCTCTTCTCCACCTTTCTCTGCTGCATTTGCAGTTTAGTTGCATAGGCTATATAGGAGTGTAAGTTTTAGAAGAGAGAGTGTCTTTATGGCCAAGACTGGTGCTGAAATACATCTTTTTGGCCAAGACTGGTGCTGAAATACGGAAAGAGTCAGAGTTACTATTCGGGAGAGCATAAAAGAGTAACAAAACCTGAGAGTGACTGTCTCTTTTCTATAGCGTAGAGCTGACAACTTTGATCTAACAATGAAAAAAAATGTCAACATAATGCAATAACTGGCAGTGGCACAATGTCTCAAAGGGCGTATAAGGTCTGAGCATGTAAGCATAACAAAATAGTTATTACAGTGACAGACACGGCCACTGGTTAAAATGTAGGCAGCCACTGCCAACCAAGTGCCTCAGCTCGGTCTGGTGGCGCTACTGTATTCATCCACCAGCAGCTCTGGACATTAACAGAAGGATCAAATTATTAGTCAGCTTATGCAGTAAACATCAACAAATATTGCTCCACCTGGTGGATATGTACAACACTGTGGGCAGCTTGCATACATGATGCCTAGCGGTGTTAACAAGGCGGCATTGCGATCACTGATTCATTGCAGGACATACATGGTAAGAGCAGAGGCCATATACAAACCTGTCACAGCTTGTGTGTGGTCCATGTTATGTGGATGTTATCATGCAATTATTGTCCAAGCATTCTAGGCATTGTGTATGGAGTTAGAAGCAAAAATATTGAAATTTGCCATGTCCCATAATGGTGAAGATTAGTTTAAAAGATCTATGGATCTGGATGATGATCCAGATCAGCACCAAAATCTATTGGATTGTTCCATGGGCCATACCCTACGTCACCGAAAAAAGTTTATCATAATCTATTCAGTACCTTTTGAGTTATGTATATTGCTGAGTTTCTGGTTATCCTTTATGATATTTAATTTAGACGATAAGCAATTAGACAGGTACATGTTTCTTAGTGTTTATACACTGTGCGTCATCACATTCAATTTGAAATAAAGTAATAGATACTACATTAAATGTAAATGTTCTCAGTTCTAATTCCAGTACTGTGCAATAAAAACAAAAAGATATAAAAAACAATTACTAAACAGTAAAAACAAGGCGCAGTGTAAAGTGACAAGTGGACTGACATATATTAGTCTGGAGAGCAGTATCCGTCTATTTTCCTGCTATTACAGCACCAAGTTTCGTTTACAAACATGCACAGTCCTCCCCCCCTACTCTTACTGGAGGCTTCTTTGTCACGGTCCTGGCGGCAGATCATGCAGCCTGCTAGCTGTACCACTACATCAGGAATTAGCGAGTGTAGCCAGGATTTACAATTATTAACAATTAATAAGCAGCGCTCACGGAGAAGTCAGCTGTGGGTGATGTGTGCTTCAAGCTTGTCCATTTTATTGGCGATGGATCTGGCATTGGTCTGATCTGGCATCCCTATGGCTATCAGGTCCTGATGGTTATATGTTAGGTTACTGGAAACTTGTAGAAAGGCCAGGACAAGAAAAAGCACACTGTTGTGAAGTGCCTTGAGCTGCTGCATCCATATGCACCGCCATCTTTTTTCCCCAGCCTAAGGTGGCATAATCTAAGTAATTAAGTTGTTATGGAATCTTGGTTTGTGCCAAATAAATAAAGCATAACTCAAAGATAGCAGTGATCCATATTTTAAAGTGACCTGTTAATATTTTTCTAGGTCAGTGTGTTCTAGGTTGCATTTGTGCAGTTGAGATTAACTGCTGTGTCTTGATGTATATTGGTAAAGAGAACTGTCTGAACAGTTTTGTAGAAGCGGTCTCAGTACAGACAAATGCGTTACCAGTGGGGAAAAAAGCAAGAGGCATAAAGGAAAAAACTGGCTTTCTGGAGAAGTACAATTATATGTAATTGGTCAATCTTTTTATGATGTCTTGAAGACTGAGAGAAAGGAAAGGTTACCAAATCAAATAGTCATATTAGACGTGTTAATTAGACATGCACATGTGCCCACTTGTCAGTTTCTTTTTTCACCTTCCTGAGTATATTCCTGAGTATGTAAAACTGCACTGTTCTACAGTTTATATAGGGATTCAGCATTTTGTTAAATGATACATGGGCACTGTGGAGGGGTTTCATTCTCTGATGGAAAGTGGTCTCTCTATACACCAGGGCCTTCAGTGGCAGGAAGCCTGCGTCTGAGAACTTTTGCAGATTTTGGAGCCACAACATCACCACAAATTTAAGAAGTGTTTGCAGGTGAACTTTCCAATCCAGTGGTGGTCACTGTGATCTCAAGTTTCGCTTTGTGTGTGCGTGTGTGTGTGTGTGTTCTGTATGCATGGTGAGCACTCCACCAGGTTAAAAAGACTGAGCTCAGTTTGAATGATATCTTCATTAGGGTGAGAGGGAGAAAGACAGTTTAGGCTGTTCATGGGTCTTGAATAGGAGTCACTGAGACTAATTACTTTCTCTTCATACCGTTCAACTTGAAGAATGAAGTGGCTCTCAGGATTTCTGTTCTGTTATGTACAGCAGTCTTGTGTGAGCATCTTCATCAGTGCCTTGTGAAAATCCAAACTTCAAGTTGAAGTGTTTTTGTTGATGAGTCCTCAATAAAACAGTATGTGAAACAGTGGTGATGCCCTACCTTTATTGCTTGTATTTCAAGACCAGGCTGGTTAAATAGGACTAGGTAAGTTCCATGAATTTCTGTTGACATGGACAACTGGAGTCTTGGTGAAGAAAGTCAAATGTTTAGCAAATGAACAGCTAGATATGGCCCTCGGGAGTAGTTGGCGGAGTATAATGAGACTACTGTACTGTACTGAACTGGCTTACTGTAATTGGCAATGCTGACATTAACATTAGCTCTGTGTGAAACCATTTCAATGGGAGAAGTGACAACACAGACGGCTCCTTCAAAAGTGATGCTGTGTCATCTGGAAAAAAAAGCTGAACCTGGTTAAACCTTTCCCGCAATGCAATGTGATGTCATCAGGCAAAGCACTGCCCTGCTGAATCATGAAAGTGGACAATCATACTGAAGACACCAAGGGAAAGAAAAATCACCAAAACCAAAGACCATGGAGACCTCACTGTTCTGGGCCTGTGCCCAGTAGGCCCTTTCAGTGATCCATCCATGTTTAACATTCCCATAAAATATCTTGTTTTATATAGTTGCTACAAGAGAATGTTGTATTGCAAGAAGTGACTTTTGGCAAAAAAAGACATATAGAAAATATACATACAGCTTGTAAACATGTTTATTTTATGAAAAAATATTCTTCATGGTGCACTTTTGCCTCGTCTTGATTCACTTTGTCTCCCCCTGATTCTTTGCTCTTTTGCTGTATCTGCAGCTGTTTGAGATCACTGTGCCAGTCACCCAAGGCACCAAGCCAGTGACCATCAGTGTGGCCAACCACACCCAGTGCAGCTGTCTGTCCAAACTAGATGTCTACAAGCAAGTTCACAGCATCATCAGGAGAGCTCTACCTGAGTAAGCACCCATACTCATTGCATCACTCTGTGTCTGTGGCCCCCACACATGAACGCAAAACCCTGTAGACAGTTCTGTCAGTTTCACAAATATTATTCAAGTCAAAAGGACATCTCTGCTTGCTTCTGTCTCTTGTCACTTCAGCTGTGTGTGTTTGCTTCGCAGAGGAGCGTTTTCTGTTTCCAGAATGCTTGAGTCTGTTGTTACAGAGGTTACGTCCTGCGAGGTGTACCCCTGTGTGTACAGGGGTGTTACTTTAGGAAACATTTTTCAGACTGTTTCTTGATTAACTTTACAGTTACAGTACATTAAATGTGTGTATGTGCCTGTGTACATACCTCCATGAAGCATGCAGTGATATATGACCTCTCCCAAACACTCTGTGACAGCCAGGATCCCAGGAGAAAGGGGTCCGTGATGTATTTTTTGGCATGTGTCCTCTGAAAACAGAGTGAAGACCAGGTTGAAAATCTGGATTAAAGCAGCTAAAATACTTTTCATATAAATGTATATACATAGAATGAGGCTTGTTTGTGAATATATTATATTTAGTTTGCATGTTGCTAGTGCGCTTTTCTCTGTATAACAGACGTTAATGTAGACTAGATTGCAGATCACTTTTTATTGCTTTGACAATGAATACATTCAATGGCCACAGCTGTGAAAGTTCATGAATTGTTTTCTCACACAAATTCAACCAAGCATCCAAATCATCTGTATTGCATGTTTACATATCATTTTAAAATTTGTTACATTTGTGTTGAAAACCAAACACAACACAAAATAACTGTAAATCAGACTGCAATCTGCTATGTCTGCATCTAAAAGGTGAAATTCTATGTAAGTACTTTTAGGATGTGGTTACTTTTTTTTCTACATACTCCTAACTTCTTTATCTAGTAAAGCAAACTTTGAAAAAGTCAATTGAGTATTGAGAATAATATATTACCATTTGAAAATAAAAACTGTAATACTGGCTCAGGTTCTGATGGTTTTTTCTGTCATTTCTAAATGATGGACATTAGAGATCACCTGAGTTATGACATCAAGAAGGATTACATATTTGACTAAAATTCACCTCCCCTTCTACTCTCCCAGTAGTCCTGGGGAGGTTTTTTGCCATGTCCTGC